CCGTCTGGTCCGCGACTCGCGCTTCGCCGAGGCGGTGCAGCTGCTGGGCGGGGAGGTGCAGCGCAGCGCGAGGAGCCGCGCCGGCCTGTCGCTGCTGGCCTACTGCTACTACCGCCTGCAGGAGTTCGCGCTGGCCGCCGAGTGCTACGAGCAGCTCAGCCAGCTGCACCCGGAGCTGGAGCAGTACCGCCTGTACCAGGCCCAGGCCCTGTACAAGGCCTGCCTCTACCCAGAGGCCACCCGCGTCGCCTTCCTGCTGCTGGACAACCCCGCCTACAACAGCCGGGTCCTCCGCCTGCAAGCCGCCATCAAGTACAGTGAGGGCGACCTGCCAGGGGCCCGCAGCCTGGTGGAGCAGCTGCTGAGCGGGGACGCAGGCGAGGACAGTGGCGGCGAGAGTGAGCTCGATGGGCAGGTCAACCTAGGGTGTCTGCTCTACAAGGAGGGCCAGTATGCGGCCGCGTGCGCCAAGTTCTCGGCGGCCCTGCAGGCCTCCGGGTATCGGCCTGACCTTTCCTACAACTTGGCTTTGGCCTATTACAGCAGCAGGCAGTATGCCCCAGCTCTGAAGCACATCGCAGACATTATTGAGCATGGCATCCGCCAACATCCGGAGCTGGGTGTGGGCATGACCACGGAGGGCATCGATGTTCGCAGCGTTGGCAACACCCTAGTCCTTCACCAGACTGCTCTGGTGGAAGCCTTCAACCTCAAGGCAGCCATAGAATTCCAGCTGAGAAACCATGAAGCGGCCCAGGAAGCCCTCACTGACATGCCACCCAGGGCAGAGGAGGAGTTAGATCCCGTGACTTTACACAACCAAGCTCTCATGAACATGGACGCCAAACCTACAGAAGGATTTGAAAAGCTGCAGTTCTTGCTCCAACAGAACCCCTTTCCCCCAGAGACTTTTGGCAACCTGCTGCTGCTTTATTGTAAATATGAGTATTTTGACCTGGCGGCAGATGTCCTGGCAGAAAATGCCCATTTGACTTACAGGTTCCTCACACCCTATCTCTATGACTTCTTGGACGCCATGATCACTTGCCAGACCGCTCCTGAAGAGGCTTTCATTAAGCTTGATGGACTAGCTGCGATGCTGACAGAGCATCTTCGGAGACTCACTATTCAAGTACAGGAAGCCAGACACAACCGAGATGTTGAAGCTGTCAAAAGGGCCGTTAATGAGTATGATGAAACCCTTGAGAAGTACATCCCTGTGTTGATGGCGCAGGCCAAAATCTACTGGAACCTGGAAAACTATGCAATGGTAGAAAAGATCTTCCGCAAATCGGTGGAGTTCTGTAATGACCACGATGTGTGGAAGTTGAACGTGGCTCATGTTCTGTTCATGCAGGAGAACAAATACAAAGAGGCGATTGGTTTTTATGAACCCATTGTCAAGAAGCATTATGATAACATCCTGAATGTCAGTGCTATCGTATTAGCGAACCTCTGCGTTTCGTACATCATGACGAGCCAAAATGAAGAGGCTGAGGAGCTGATGAGGAAGATTGAAAAGGAAGAAGAGCAGCTCTCTTATGAAGACCCCGACAAGAAAATCTACCACCTGTGTATTGTCAACCTGGTGATAGGAACCCTGTATTGTGCCAAAGGAAATTATGACTTTGGTATTTCTCGAGTGATCAAAAGCTTGGAACCTTACCACAAAAAGCTGGGAACTGATACGTGGTATTATGCCAAAAGATGCTTTCTGTCCTTATTAGAAAACATGTCAAAACACATGATTGTGTTTCGTGACAGCGTTATTCAAGAATGTGTCCAGTTTCTAGAGCAATGTGAGCTGTATGGCCGGAACATACCTGCAGTTATTGAACAACCGCTGGAAGAAGAAAGACTGCATATTGGAAAGAACACAGTCACATATGAATCCAGACAGCTAAGAGCTTTGATTTATGAGATAATAAGGTGGAATATGTAATTATGGCTGATAATGGCTTTTATCAGACTGGCTTTGTTATCTCTATCTAGTATGTAGTTATATTTGACTTTAGTCTTTGGGATCTTTAGATTTGTTATATGTCAAACTTTGTACTGTTTATAATTATAAGAATTAGAAATGCTTTGGATAAACCCATGAGTATGATAAAAAATCATTTAAAAAGCTGGTAGAGGGGAAGGTGTAGCTAAAGGAACTTGTTAGGACTGGGTTCTCATTCCTTTGTTATCTTTGTGTTTTGCTGTGTCTTAAGGAACCTCTGTGTATGGGTTATATCATTCAGGGACTCAGTGGTATCAGGGCTAGGTAGGACTCTAATTAAAGTAGAGCGTTTCTGGGCTTTAATAATCACTTCAGGGATTCATGGTCTATTCTCATTTACCCTACTAATTTGTTATGTTTATCTTTCACATAGATTTTAGAATATTCTGGCAGGATATTCCAATACTCAAATTTCACCTCTCCCCCTTAGGTTTTAGATTTTTTTAGCATGTAAAATTCAGTGGGTAAACGTGTGTCCTCACAGAATTATGGTACTCTGGCATAGAGACAATAAACAATTGACAAAGAAACAAACTTCCATGGATTTCTTTTGCCCTATTAATAATTTGAACCCATGAACAAGATATGCTATGACTGGTTTGCTTTGGCAATAGCTTTCATTAATCTGCAACCGTGATTTATAGCACAGATGGATCTAGAACTCACTCGTTAGCTCCTACCTTTGTATTTGCAATTTTAGCATATCTTAATATGGGGTCCTCTTCCACCTTGTAGCCTTTGGATAAGGAAAAAATGCTCTACACTATTTCCATCTGCCACCAAACTCCTCCTGGGCACATACAGGTGGGAAAGCCAAAAGTGGGTTCTGACACCTTACCTGGTGGACTCACGGTGCCAGTTTCATTCCCCTAACCCTTGCAGTGGTTTCCAAGTGTCCTCAGTGGGAAGTGCCCGAGCCTGCTCAGATCTTTCATTTGCTTAATCCTAAGAGCTTTGCTATTTGTTTCCCCACACTCACCCCTCTTCTGAAACCTAACTGTTAACCTTCACTCGTCCTGGTTTAGGAAAATAAAGTAACTCATTGAAACTTTGGAAATTAACTGATTTTGAAAAATTTTGACCTATGAAAACAGCAATCTGTTAACGTTCAAACTGCTATTTCCACTTAGAGTTCAGAAACACTGCCATAAGGAATATATATAAATCTATATTGTTTGTTTTGTTTTCTTTACCCCTGAAGGAAGAAATATATATAATTTTTTTCTTCCCCCTTCAGGGAAGAACCACTTAGTCCCAAAGGTACTCAGATGAAGTATCCATCTGTTACGTGACCGACTTCCAAGCTTAAAATCTGTCAAGTTGATTGAAGAATTTAGCTTATAGGAAGTGGAGCTACTTGAGGATCTGAGCTGCTACCATGGACAATTCTCCATTGACAATTGAGGCTTTGATCCCACACTGGGAAAGCAGTGCTCACTGGCTTCTTTGGTGGCCCCCTTGGCATATTCCATCTCCGGAACGCTCCTCCGTCAACAACCTTTGTACTAAGTGTTGCTGCTTCTTTGTGCAGTGGTTCTGTGCGCCCTTCAGGACTCCTTAAGATTTGTAGAGCAAATGAACTGTCCTCTCATTTTTAATAGCCACCTTGTCTTTCTCATCATTCCCTTCCCCCCTCCCCCTTTCTACTAAACCAAGCCACTTTTTCTTTTTTTAAAAAGTGTGTGAGTCATGTTAACCACCCAAAAGCGAATGTTTCCCAGATTTCCTCCTCCACCCACCTAAATTCCCCAGCCTTCAGCCAGTTTATTTACCCAGGTGCGGGGTGCTTGTGGAATGCATGTATGTGTAATTTAGCTTTTCAGAACATAAAAAGCTTTTAGAACAGTGTTTAACCCCTTGGCGCTGGGCAGTTGAGATTTCCTGGTGATTAAGACACTGGGAAA